GAAAGAGTGACCCATGGCTAATATTCTATAAAGTGAAACAGTTACGGTTTATTAGGAAATCTGAAATCTCCTTTCTCAGTTTCAGATAAATTTGTTAATTATAATAAAATGCATATCTTGAATTGTTTCGGGTTTTTTTTATATAGATTTCCAAAGGTTCCTTTATTTTCCTTTACCCGCCCAAAGTATTCTCTGAAAATACTTGCTCAAGAGAGGTAGCTTGCAGTTTGCAGAGTAAACAACCCATTTCTTTGAAAAGGAGATGAAGTTATGGAAGGGTTATAGGTGGTTTGGTATTTCATAGATAGCCTGGATTTTTGTCTCCTGTTTTTTATCCTGATAACACTGATTCTTGTCCAGTCTGACCAGTCTCAATCTGTCCTATGCTGGCTTCTTTTATAAATATCTCTTGGCAGTAGAGATTTCTTCCGATTGCTTATCCACGGTTGTGCCCTTTTATTTTTCTTAGGCAATATGCTTTTTAAAAGACTTTTTTTCTCTTTTCTTGTAACAGTCTTTGCCTCTACTTTGCTTTTTTTATTTTACCTCAAATTCTTTGCCTTTTATATGTTAAAACTTCCCTAAAACTAGCATCCCATCTATTCAAAATGGTCAATTTTGAGAAGTACTTCTTTGTGGAGCTGAGAGATGGATGAAATATGAAGGATAATCCTTTCAGTGATGCTTTGATTTTTTTGGATTCCCCTGCAAGCTTGGCTGTCCAAAGTAGATAGCTATTGGAGGATGGTTTTAGAGGATTTGGGGCTGTGGTTTGTAACTCTTTTGCTCAAAGAGCATATGATTGGTTTTTAGGAAACTAGATCCAAATTTGCTTACTAAGTGATTTTTAGAGTAGCCTGAACAGTTTGAGGCCATTTTCCCCAACTCTGCTATTTATTCTGTATCTGGAGTTTATAGATACCTTATCACTTGCATTTTCAACAGGCTTACATGCTCAAATGAAAATTCCTTGGGCTCGTCTGTTTGCAAAAGTTGATATATTTACGTTGTTGTTTGGTGGACTGGATAGGGATTTTTTTATTTTTATTTTTCCTTTAAAGTCAGAGTCAAGGCAAAATACCATTTTGAATTGTTTGGGGATTTTATTTTGATGCTGTAGGTCAGCTACCTTGTTGGTGATCTTTAGCTGCCAAGGTTGACAAGAATGGCTTGTTAGATTCTACAAGGTACACTAAGTACTCAGTTTATTCCCCAAGCTATCCTACAAACCCTTTTGATGCCCTAACATATAGCATTTGCTATTTTCTTATTTCTTACCAACGACAGAGGTATAAGATATTGTCAATTAAAAACATTTTCAATATGTAACCAAAACAGTACATGTTGACAAATTTATATTTTTTTAAAGTACTCTTGCTTCTTGATTTTAAGTTAATGGATGTGTCAGTTTTAGAATATTTGAACTTTTAGGCTAACTGAATATCTCTGCAAAGTTAGGTAGACCATTTTTGGGGGTTTGTTTTTGGCAGCATGTTAAGCACTTTTATTTTCTGGTATTTTTAGTCAGGGTTTAATTCTATGATCTTTGGTACTAAATTTCCTCAAGTCTGTGGACACATAGCAGGTGAGTAAGGGTATGTGAGTAGACCCAGAATGCGGTTCTAGAGAATGTTAAAGATTTAAATTGTGCTTATGTGCATGTATGGAATATGTATGTGAAAAGTACAATTGTGATCTTAAATCGAATAGCTTAATGTGAAGTAAGAATTGCATAGGTGTCGCACTTTTTGAAGCTTTGTTGTAATTTCAGCTGAACGACTTGTGTTTAGTGACAAGTGTTTAAATTCTTCGATGGAATCTCTAATAGTTTGTGAAATATGAATTCTCACATTTCTTATCTTCTGTTTTTAGCAGGTAATTGCTGCCATGGAAACACAACTGTCTAATGGGCCAACTTGCAATAACACAGCCAACGGTCCGACCACCATAAACAACAACTGCTCGTCACCAGTGGACTCCGGGAACACAGAGGACAGCAAGACCAACTTAATAGTCAACTATCTTCCTCAGAACATGACACAGGAGGAACTAAAGAGTCTTTTTGGGAGCATCGGTGAGATAGAGTCCTGTAAGCTTGTAAGGGACAAAATAACAGGTATGCAGTTTTATGTAAGGTTCCTCACATGTAAAAGATTGTGTTTTAAGGTATGGGAAAATAAGTTTACTGCTTGTAAATGATTCAGTGCTCGAGTTTTACACATCTAGATTTTCTCTCTGTTTCTGGCTACATCAACAGTATGAAACTTAGTTTTAGAGAGTTTTAAGTTTTCCTTTTGAAGCATAAAATAATATAATAACTAGACTTTTTTATAATCTGAACTATACAATAACATCTTTGAAAAATGCTTTAAAGGTGTGTGTGTGTCTGGAGCAGCAAGTGTCATGTTAACCTTCAGTTTTGAGATCTTTGAGCTACGTGATTTAGCATTTCAACAATGAAATACAAGGAGAATTGTTTTTTAGGAGAGGAAAAAACCTCTTAAAATGTCCTTTTTCTTAAGTCTCTATAGTCCTCCATTTGTATGGCCAAGTAAATGGTAAATTAACATTGTCAGTACGTAAATATTTGTACTGATACAATTTGAGTTTGGTAAGATCTTAGCTTCTGGAAAAAGTGGTGTATGAGTGCCCCTTTTATAAAGATAAGAATGAAAAGATGAGTATTTAGCCTTTCATAATGGTATATTTTGAATATTGGGTAGTGGAAAATCTCCTTAGTATTTTGTAAGATTTGATTAAATTTTTAGAATAAGGCAAAACCTAATTAAGGAGAGTGTTCTTGGCAGAGAAGGGTTAATGCTTCCTGCGGGAGTTGTTTTTAAACACTGAACATTAATGAAGTGTAGACAGACTCTAGCTTTTTCATGTTACTGTTAAATTTGAGTGATGGTGTGTATTAAATGGCTTATAACCAAAATATTAAGCTAAATATTTGAAATGAGGAAAGGATACTTAAAGGCAGTTTGAGGAGTTGGACGAGGAGTCTGAACTTTGACTGGTCGTATGATGTTGGTCACGTCAACCCTTGGCTTCAGCTCTAGGTTTCCCTTGGTAAAATGAGGTAGAAGGCAGAGGAAGGGGTCCCTAGCTAATTTCTGAGGCCAATTCTAACTTTTTCTGAGATGGTACCTTTAGCTGTTCTTTTATCAAGACAGCAGGGCTTATTGTCTCCAGGGTGACTTAGAGCTGTCACCTGGGCTTGGACTCATAGTCGTATTTACTTGAGATACGGATTGAGGTTCACAGAGAGAATTTATTCATTAAAATCAAGTAAACCAAGTAAAAACTAAGTAAAACCTGGTTGTCATCAATCCATACATAATTGTATTGTAACTAATTATGTTACTTAGATGTTCACCATGATTATCAGGAAGGTTTCTTTTTTGTTTTTGAATATTGATAATTGAATGGATGAGATTTTTCCATTTCTTTTTCCAAAATCAGTGTGAGCAGCATATGTAAAATTTATACGTGAAATTTATTAAAGAAACAGTTTTTGAAAAGTTGGGAAAGGTAGAGGACAAAGGCTTTTTATTATATGTGTCTGTCCTGGTACTGAATTTTATTTTATGTTTTTAGCAAAACAGCATCCTTTTATATGTGAATTTTGCAGTCTCTTCGACATAAATGTGATAAATGGTTTGAAGGTTTTGACATAAATGATGAGATTTCTGATTTGATTGCTTAGTAGTTATTCTTATTATTTAAAAAAATGTTGCTTGAACTAGGCATAAAGGTCACATTTTTTGTTATGGTAGATGAAAACAGTAAACCAATCCTTTGTATTAGGTATTTTCCACAGGAAACATTGCACAGATTTTCATCTCTTACCTCTGGTCAGTCTTGAATTATCTTACTCTTCTGTAAACCTTTTACTAGAGCTATTATGTGGCAAAATTGGATAAATTTGACTTCTGTATCTTCAGACCCTTTGCTTCTCTGGCTTTACGTGGAGGATGGTAGTAATAGAACCACAGCGCATGGGTAATCTGAAAGAGTACCTGGTTAGATACTTAGATACTGGCAGAGTGTGTTAACATTTGTTGTCCATTTCTTTCACTCCCTCAACCCATTGCCTTTTCAGGGAGAGCTGGATAATGGAGGTTTCCACCATAGTGAAATTTCTGTTTAAAATCTCTCATAAGCTGAGTACCCTAGAAAATGAACAGTGAGCACCAAGGTCAAAAGATGTTTTTTCTAAGCTTAGTTCCATGATTTAGTCATAAATATTCCTCAAAATAACCATTGCACTGACAGACAAGTTTGAGAAAAATCTGTACTCTGTAGTTTTTAAGAACCATATTGCAGATCATTAACATAATAAAAACTACATTAAAATCCTGCAGTAAAGAAACCAGTTTGATTTACAGTTCCCCAGTCTTATTTAATCACAGAACTCATGGCGGGGTGTGTGTGGAAATACCTCCTTGACACTAGATTTCCATCGAACGTGTTGCTTTGGAAGTCATTTGTTAACTGTTTATCAGAAAATCTGTAATTCTTCCATAAAACCTGTTCACGTCAATAAAATATGAGCATGTTTCATAAAATGAACATCCATGATAATGAACTATAAATTAAAAAGTTGAGTAGGCACATCGGAATACTAAGGACCTCTTCTAGTAACCCTGTTTTGATTTGGCCCACTAATGTCTTATTCTTGGTATGTGTTAAATCAGTATTTAGATGGGTCTGAATTGTTTAGCTTCAAACATAAAATTACCTTAGATTTTTTTTTGTTATTCTGAGTTTCTTAGTAAGTACATGTATTGAACAAAATAGTCTAGTACATAGATTTCTAAAACTGGGTTTTGAATTGTTGCACTTGGCAAAGTGGGCATGTCTTCTGAAGAAGCTACTATTAACATATCTCTGAAAAGGTTTTGAAAGAATCTGTGGGGATTTGGACCCTGCGCTGTGGCATTTAGCATTAGTCATCTTGAGCAGTTTTTCAGTATACGTTTTTAGGGTCAGGGCAGAGTTTCTCAGTCCCTCTCTAATTATCCAACTTATTCTACCTCCTGGGGAGCTACCAGGCCAGCTCCTGGTATCTGATTTTGTAGGAGCGGGAGCATTAATTGATTGGGTTGTGAGAAGACTGGGATCACTCTGTGGGAAGAAGATTTACATCCCTCCTTTTCACTTTTCTTAAGTCTTTCCTTACTTAAATAATGCTAAAACTAAGAAACTGTATTTCAGGCACAAAATACCTAGTTAGGAAAGTATGTGCCTCTTTCCTAAGTCCTAAAAGAGAGTATATCATTTTTAGATTGTGTCATTGTTAGCAAATTAATGTCCCTATTTTCACAGAATGAGGATTAGGGAAATACATTAAGAAATGTGTTCAGTTTCAAATACAATTATCTTCTTTCTAGTCGAAATTCTATTTATTATGTTGTTCATCAGGCTCTCGCTTTGGGCTTATGCCAGCTTTATGCTTCACCCTGTTTCCTATCTATAGGCATTAATTATGAGAAGCTAATGCTGTTTGTACAGCTTAGCTGATGTCGGTCTGTCCCTTTGAGTTCTCAAATGCACTTCAGAGTCCTTGACACCTGCTGATGCTGCAGGAGTAAAATGGATTTTATGAAGCAGGGAATAATAGAGCGTTGAGAGTCAGAAAAACCCTTGAGGTGATCTTAGCCAGCTCCCTCGCTGACAGGTGAGGAGAGGCCCAGCTTTGTTGACATGTTGAGTCCAAGACTACACATCTATTAAATGGCAGAGCAGGGACCCTAATTCTGGTTTTCTCATTCTTCCCTAGCATGTTTCCTCCTTGCCTTTGTTGGAGGGCCAGAACTCACTCTTTAAAAGCTAAGCACAGGACCAGCTGATGAATTTCTAGTGAGACGTATAACTTGTACAGGGGTCACGAAGGGGCATCTTCTGGTGAGTGGTGAGTCTTCCACAGGAGGAGAGTGGAAGATTTTTGAGGGTCAAGGAGTGAGGGGTACATGCAACTAATGAGAGCATCCATGCTTCTCTAGAAACTTTAAATCTATGGTTGTCAATTCAGATAGTCTAGCCCTGTGGTTCCCAAGTCTGGCTGCACATCCTTACCTGAGGGAGTTTTAAATAATAAAGATTTCAGGGCTTCCCTGGTGGTGCAGTGGTTGAGAATCTGCCTGCTAATGCAGGGGACACGGGTTCGAGCCCTGGTCTGGGAGGATCCCACATGCCGCGGAGCAACTGGGCCCGTGAGCCACAACTACTGAGCCTGTGCATCTGGAGCCTGTGCTCCGCAACAAGAGAGGCCACGATAGTGAGAGGCCCGCACACCGCAATGAAGAGTGGCCCCCACTTGCCACAACTAGAGAAAGCCCTCACACAGAAACGAAGACCCAACACAGCAAAAGTAAAAACATAAATAAATTAATAAACTCCTACCCCCAACATCTTCTAAAAAAAAAAAAATAATAAAGATTTCAGAGACCCTGGGAATCTGTTGTCATGAAAGCTCCCTAGGTGATTTGATGGGCAAGTGAGCAGTTTGGGGAATCATAGTCTTTATGGTCAGTAGAGTACCTGCATTGGAATCGCCTGGGATGACTGTCAGAAATGCAAGTTCCTGGGCCCTGCCCAGATCTACCTATGGAATCAGTCTCTGTAGGTAGGGCCTGGAATGTGCCAATTACCTGGGAGTTATTGACTTCTTTTCCTGAACATTTTGCAGGGAGATAGAACCAAGGATTTCCAGGTTTATCTGAATTCTGGCTGGAGGTGGGTGGGACAGGTGGGTGTAACTGCAGTGCCTAATTGTATGGCAAACGAAGTTTCAGATGCTGTTCCCTCCCCAGCTTTTGATCTCCTGGGGGTCAGGACTAGAAACGTTGAATGTAAAAGTCACTGGGCTGTGTCTTTACTGAATGCCTGACCTGTCCTTAAAAGAGTGTGTGCGTATGTAGGTATGTGCGTTTGCACGTATGTGTCTGTAAGTGTGTAATTAGTTTTCACGACTCCAGGATAGCTTGTTTTCCTTCAAAAAGAGGAGATAAGAGAATTATAGTTGAAGACCTCAGGTAATGAGTGTTGCTCTTTTTAATTTTGATGTGATAGCTTCATTCTTAGCCTAGGAATTGCTTGAGGTGCGCCCTA